ATTTCTCCTTGTACCGGGTTGTTCGTCAAGGGTCGATTCTTTTCCATCTTTTTTTGTTTTCTCATTAAACTGTTTCATCTATCTAAGCAGACGACATTTTATTACTCGTATACTAATCACATGCATCCTTTCACTGCTTTGAAAACTAAACCTAATTCTTATTTCGCCTTCACCAGTGACTAGTCAAATGGCTTCTGTTGGTACATATCTCCAAATGTCAAGCTATATAGATAATCCAGGCCCATCATGATTTAACCGATTTGAGAATGGGGGGTGTTGAAGATTATTTTGCCGACTGTCATGTACACATAAACAATTTGAAAATTTGATTTATGCAAGTTATACGGTTTGAACATTAGATAGATAGGCAATTTACAGGTCTAGTAAAAAATAGACAATTTCAGTTGTGCTGGAATTTAATAATCAAAGTTCAAACAAAACAAATAAATTTCATATATGCAACGCATTTTGAACTTCAAAAGTTTAATTTCAAAACCATTTCTACTAGTTATATACGTATTTTTTTTTATCAAAATAATTTTTAATTAAATAACGTAAAATTTGACCACCATGTGTGTGTAAATATGGTATTATTAATAATTAAATACTACGAATAAATGTCCAAAATATAAAAAAAATTATTTTTTCAAATTTTTATTATAAAATTGGTTTTAAACTCAAGACGATTTGTTGCTCCAAAATTCTTAATGCCTCTATCACACGAGAGAAAAATATGTGCAACTGCAAGTGTAAAAACTCTAAGCGCAATTCCTCCGTTCGGAGTTGCCGAAAGGGTTGCTTAATTGCCTGAACGGTTGCACGTAATTGGGTTACCATATTTTGTTATTTATCTTTACTTTTGGCTCATATTTTATTATATCATAGTTTCTGAACGATGTTCGTAAAGGGAGGAAAAAGAAATCACAGACGCTGTAGAATATTGATTGATTTTGATTTAATTTTTTACATTTGTATTTGTGTTAAGTCTTTTTTTCAGCAGCAAATTAAAATTCTAAAAAATTTTATTTCCCCAATAGTGAAGTAGCATAGTATAAAAAGGATTATGATTTCTACCTCATAATATGAGATGATATTAAGATATCATTGAATTTCATGCTGCGTCCCTGAAAGGATAAGGGGGTGAAAGGGAGATGAAATACATGCTGCGTCTCTAAAAGGATAAGGGGGTGAAAGGGGGATGGACTTAAATACTATCTAGAATTTTGACAATTTTTTTCATCTTGATTTGAGTGACTAAGGTATAAAACATGGTACGTAGCGTTTTTGAAAAGTGCTTAAAGGTGCTTATTTTCGATTTTCATTTCTTAAAGGCCCTTAAAGGTGCTTTTCTTAATGGGTGTTTTTAAAAGGTGCTTTATTTTCCCTTTTCGAAAATGAAATTTATGAAAGGGAATGTCGATTTTCACCACGCATTATGTAAAAACGTGTTTTTCACATTTTTCTATTTCACGTTTTCAGAATTCATTCAACCACGATTAATTTCAGCGTACCGTCAGTCCATAGCGTATGAAAGCGCCAATCATTTTACAGGTTTGGTGAAGTACTTGCGAGTCCGCATGTGCGTCTAGTTAGCTGGGTTTGGTGAGATCCTTGCTTTCTCATGTGCAACTCTACTGTATTTTGCAAGATATTCTCATTATTAGATATTGCTTTATTTTTCACCCTCTGAAATCGAACCAAAAAATCTCTTGATCATTTTTTAATGGCTAATATAATCAAGAAAAGAGTTCTTTGTCAAATTCTAGTTATTTTATCATGATCATGTGAAGTCAGAGATTTATTTTGCATTTTGTCAATTTACATAGTGCTTAAAAATATATTTTGAGTGCCTAAAATGTTCTTAAAAGTTGCTTATTTTTTGTTGAATTTGGCTCCGCACCCTGTAAAAGCATAGTTTATTTATATATATTTACTATCTAACATGCTAGCTAGGCAAGTGCGGTATCGTTATCTATGTATACGCTAAATCGAATGAGAATAAAAACAAGCTGTCTGATTTAATAGTTTAGCTACTCGAAAATTTATAAAAGTTTCATGTGTAGAAAGGACAATTTTATGACTTATACCATTTTATGCAACTGACATTGCTATCTAAACAAGTAAGGCATTTCTTCAGATTTAATTTTTTAAGCTTAATTAAAAAACATAGTCCTTTGAAATAATTCTTTAGAAGAAATGAGGGTTTAATGTATGAAATATACAATTTTTGACTTTCCTTTTGCTCATAAAATATTTATAACATCACAACTATTAGTTCTATCAAATCAATTCTATTTTTTTAATTTAGTCTAAAAAATACATAATAAATAATGTCTATACTACTAATGTCTATACTTCA